AGTTCTTCTAGAAAATTATACATGTTCATCTCTTCTGTCCTTTTAAAGATTAACTTCTTGCCTGTGATGGCTACTATGAGTCACAACATCCTGCTACAGTCATACTCTAGGGCCAAATGAAAGTCAGATTTCAGACAGATCATTTCAATCTGTGCACACAATGACTTACAAGCTTCCCTCATCTTTTCTTTTTTTTTCCCCTGATCATTGCTAGATGTTATGATTCGCAACTATTTTTTTGTTTTGTTTTGTTGTTTTTTTTGGTTGGCTTTGTTGTTTTTTTTTTTTTTTTTCTATCAGGTCTGTCACAGACACATTAGCAATTCCATAGCAAGGAAATAAGCACCACAGCTCTGTAATCTGCACAGAGTATATGAAAAGTTAAGTGAAAGGCTGACATATCATTAGTAAACCATGAATTTTGAGGACATATAATACTGCATTATTGTCTGAAATATGAGGATACACAGATTTCCTCCTCAATGAAGAGTAAAACTGGGCAGTACTACAGCATGTACTAGAAACATTTTAAAAGTGCATTATTGATATCACTGTTCAGACAGAGTACAGCTGGAGACATCACCTGGACTGCAGTGCCAGGCACTGGGTACAGGAATTATGTCTGATGGTATTACAGACCAAATTATTTTATATAGAAGGTCAGCCCTGCTCACAGCTCTCCTGGGACTTGTCTGAATGGTAGATAATGTTACCTGAGTGATTGGAGACACGATAATCTCAGGTCTTCAGATACGATCAGTGCTGGCACAGGGAAGTGATAAGTGTCAGTGGTTGACAGCCACCACCTCTGTGGGAGACAAAATGTGTCTTTAGAGAATGCCTTGTCCCTTTTAATCACAGTTTTAAGCATCAGCAGACCAAGCCTGAGTGTAATGTATTTGTAAAATATATCTGTTTAACACTATTACTTTCTTCTTCCATGGAACTGTTGATCCTTATGGCTCCCATGGGTAATTAACATCAGCTAAAGAACCAGGCAAATGTGGATGATATCTAGAGAGTCTTCTACAGGCACCTTTGTTAAGATGCCACATGATGGCCTGCCACACTTCAGCTATTTTATTACCAGATTCCTTCTGCAGAAATTACCAGCAAATGACCCGCTGAGGCAGTGGGTTTGTAAAGTATCTAACTATCTCAACAGGCTAAAAATACCACTGTCTTTCCAATACGATATTAACAAACTAATAACAGGAAAGACATGCATTCTACTGGAAATTCACATAAATACCATTACAGAATAATTCTGAAAACATTATTTCTGCATTTCTTGGAAACTATTATTTCACTCAGTCTTGTAAAAATGTCTGTCTAATTGAGCTTCCCCAGCTATATAACTTACCTGAACTTTATTTTTCCCCCCTATGTCACTTTTACCATTATTCTAATCAGTACCACTAAAATACATATGCTCAAATCCTAGATACCACTCTCAGTTAAACTTGGTAACGTCAGGACAGACAAATATCACTGCAATAATCTTGTATTTCAGCGCTGCTAGCTGCAAAATATTTCCAGTCCTGCTTCTAATTTCATTTTAGCTTAGATTTGTGAAATGCTAAATAAAACAGCAATATTTAATAGAAGTATTTTTGCAGATTTTTTATTTGTATTAAGTGAGGTAACAGTGCCATCAGGTGGCAATTTGCGGCAATCACACATCTTCGTTGCTGGAAATACTTCAAATTTAAAACGTTAAAAATAGAGCCTAGAAAGCTGAATTTTGACCAAAGACTGCGTGATGAAACAGAAATAAGGAAAAAAAAATAGAAGGGATTGTGTAGATGAATCTATCTAGTCTATGAATTTATATAAGTTCCTTGGCTATCCCTCCACCCCTAATTTTAGGGATATTCTTCCATCTGCTTCCTCTTTTGATCTACCAAAAGACAGAATTTTATGCAAACTCGCATTTGTAAATTTCTGAAACTGCTAGGAATCTTTTTCCTCTTATTTCTACTGTATGACTAACAAAAATTGTTATCGAGAGTGGTCAATCTTTAGCTAGCTATGTTGTAAAATCCCTCTATTCTGATTAGCTTTCTTTATCCACACTGGTCTCTTACAAAGGTGTTTCACAGCTGTAGGCACCCGTAATTTCATTGCCCACATTGCACCTTAGTGTAACCCTTATGGATTTTTACAGAACTATTGTGTTCCCTTTCAGCCCTCATTTTGAAAAGTTAAGCAGATCTTTCTCATTAGTCTGCTCTCTGGTAACATACCCACTGTATAAGATGACCCTTGTATTTGAAAATACTGCTGTTTATCAGGTAGTATAAATTTACAAAATTCAGCATAATGTGAACAGGTTTACCTCTATATTTATTCAGAAAGTCTATGACATAAATGTTCTTTTCTCTCCTTTGGAGCAAGACCTTGTTTATAACAGGCTTTTAATTTATTAACATTATGGAGTGAATGAACTGCTGTGTTGGGAGGGAAGATTTTGTTACATTAAATTCAACATATAATTAGATATAGATTAGTATCTTGTACATTTTGCTCTGCTGTGTGGTGTTGTATTTCTGTAATCAGTAATCGCCGTGTCTGTGATTCACTTGGCCTTTTCAGTTGTCAGTAGAGTGGGAGAGTGGTACTCAGCACAAAGGTTGCTGCAGCATCTTCATACTTAGTCACTGCAAGTTCTGCGTTGCTGTACAGGACATCATTCCCAAGATGCATTTGGGCCAAGTGTTTTGCAATTCGTAAAACATTGGGACTTGCCACTGTTTTTATGATTAATGACTCTCAAATATGGCATAGCCAGGGATCAAGGGTGAAGTTTATCTCTAGGTTGCTGTGCAGTGCTCTGAATGGAACTGCATAGAGCTGTTGAGTCTTTGCTGTTGTGTCATAAATCACGGAAGTGAGAAGCAAATTGAGTTACAGGCAAGAACACACTTCCGTTTGGTTTCAAGACCTACATTTAAGAGGAATGAAAGCCGCTTTGTGAGCTAAATTCAGAGCCAGTCTAATGGCCTCATTTTCCAGATGAGCTCATGACCTAGGAAATTGGGATGTGTTAAACATCAGAATAACTCTAAACTTGTTCTTAATTCAGAATACATGTTTGTTTTGCTGATTTAGTGCTGGTGGTGATGGAATAGACAGGAGAGCAACATCAAGACAGCTGTGTTGCAGCTGGCTTTTTTCTACCAATTGCTTCTTATAATCCTGACATTTATTATTATAATTAACTCAGCAAATATGTTGATAAATTGCAGCAGCTAATACAATAGAGAAAAAGACAGAATAACAGCAATAAACATTTCACTTAACAGAATAATAAACATTTCACTTAACATGCCCCTCCAATATTTTGAGGTGCAAAGAAGATGTTTTGTAGGTTGTCAGGATGACAGCAGGATGAATGGTGCACTCATTGTCTTTAATTTAGTGTGATATAGTTCACTTACATTAATAAATTACACCTTAAAATAAATTCTCATTTTCCAGGGCTGGCTATGGATCACAAGATGTTACTGTTGGTTTTTATAACAGGTATAAAGCCAGGTTGATTACATTTACAGCAGAAGTGCCTATTGTGCAGCTCAATCTCGTAAAACATAAACCAAAGCAGTGAAAGGCATATTGTCTAAGTATACCAGTGGGTCTGTGTATTTCTGGGACAGTTTCTAATGACAAGAGCCAGTACCTGGACCTCACTGTCGTGAAAGACGAAGCCCCCTCTCCTGTGCTGTCTTCCCTGTGACCTTTTGAAACCATGTTGTAGTAGCTGTTTATGGACATGCAGACAGATCTAATTAACCATGTCTTTTGTCTAAAAAATATCAGTTAGCAAAGAAATATATCAGAACAATCTGGTATCATCTTTTTCATCAGTCAGGGTTCCATTTAATTCCAGTAACTTATCTGTCCTTTATCATTCTTATCTTCCACTCATCTTTTAATATGTTATCCTTTGAAAATTGTACTTGAAAATTTCTGCTGTATTGAAGACAGACTAAAAGGCCAGATAATTATTCAAACAATATTTTTCTCTTTCTTTAGAGAAATTCTTAGGTTTCTTAAAATTATGCCATTTCAATAGTCCAGTCATAATATACAGAACAATCAGATATTTTATTAAAGAGCTGAACTACCAGCACTGCAATTACACATACAAGTTTTCCAGTATTTCCTTTTGTGTTCTTCTCAGAATATTTTAACAATGGCTTCTACAGCATGTTATTAACACTCAGATGTATCTCAAAACCAATTTTTCAGATAAGAGTTCTTTTCTTGTTCATTTTTTGTAATTTTTTTTATATAATCATAAATTCTCTCTCTACTTCAGTGTTAAGGTTGTTCATCTCAGATATAAACTTAAATGCTGAGTATTTTTTCCTGAATATCTAGTTATGGGGCAGGGGGGTCAACTGTCAGTTTACTTCTAACAGAATTTAAGGAGTGGTATAGTGCTCTGGAACAAGATGGAAACAGAAGTTAGGTACTATAAATGCTTTATGTGTTGCACTGTATCATGTTAGGAAACTCTTATTAAGAGTGTTGAAATTAACTCTCTGTAGAAAAAGTTAATAAGGAAGACTGTAAAATTCCACAAAACATGTCATCTGAGTGTAGCTCTTTAATTCTTCCTTCTTCCAGTATTCTTAGAAACTATTTCTTTGTGTACGTATTCTTATGTATGGTGATTGTGTCCCTATTTGTTTTTTATAACTACTTTCATGCAGATTTTGATAAGAGATGTCAATGAGCTTTCTTCATCCCTGTGCAAGAAAATCTCCCACCCTGCATAATATTGGCAATTTTCCAGCCTGACTAATCACGTGAAAGAGCATGAAACTCATTGTGTAAGATTATTTGTGAAATCATCAATATTTGTGGAAATAGAAGAGGGAGACCAACCAGGCTTCATTTAATTAAAAGTATCATTTTGCATCTCAAAGAAGCTGCAGACTCTCACGTACAATACTCCTTATTTCTCTACATGCTGTGAATTTCTTATTTCATAGGATGGAGTTTCAGCATGGGCTCTGCCTACCAGTTCCACAGCTGGCGAGTATTTGTGATCGTCTGTGCACTGCCTTGTGTCTCTTCCGTGGTAGCCCTCACCTTTATGCCAGAAAGCCCACGGTTCTTGCTGGAGGTATATGTAACTTTCCAAATTGTTTTTAGATTCCAGTCAAAATTATGTCTGTGTTTATATCACGACCTCTGTATAACAGGCATTAAGATTGTTCAGTGGTAATACTGAATATATTAATCTGTATGTATATTGTGTTTAAATGAACATTTAGGTTGGAAAACATGATGAAGCTTGGATGATACTCAAGCAAATTCATGACACAAACATGCGAGCTCGTGGTCAGCCTGAGAAAGTCTTCACAGTGAGTATTGTTTTTAAAGCTAATCACTTTAACACATCAGTAAGCTGGCTGATTGGCAAGGTCTGGAGGGCTTAAGCAACCAATATTAATACTCTGCATGACCAAGTAAATAATTTGCACTCTAAATTCCTAAATACAAGAACCAAATTCCTACTGAAGTCGTTATATATACAATTGCTATATATACAAGTCTTGTAAAGATACAAGCCTTTGACCAACATGTTCTTGAACCTATGAATCCACATTGTGTTTTCCTTTGGTGTACCAAGACACTTAATAGACTCAATCTGTGTTTTATTTAATGAAAAGGCCAGATTCAAAGCATTGATAGGTTGTTTCTATTTGGAGGATAAACTGGTGATTCAAATGTGGGGGATTTTTATGGCATGTTCCTTAAATATGAAAAATATACCCAATAATTTTTTTTTTTCCTGGATACAGTAGGACCAAACAGCAGAAGGCATTTTCTTGCTTTGAAAATCAATCATCTCCCTTTACAACTTGTGCTGTGCTGTGGGAGTGTAAGCACTCTGCTTCCACTCAGAGCCATGTTTGGGATGTTTTTGCTCTTCCAGAGGCTTTCTTCTTACTTTAATGCACACATAACTCAATTAAGAAATCCTTTTAAAGGCTCTGCATTTGCAGGCAGTCTCAAGGAATGACCATCTGACCATATAACTTTATTTCATTGAGACTTGCAGTTTATTGCCTTGGATGTAGTTTCCATTTACTCTATTTAATTTTTTTCCACAGAGAAGCTTAAAATCTCCTATTTAGTCTGAAAGAAGGCTGGCTAGCATGCTTATCATGTTAAATCCACATTTATTGATACACCTGTGATCTACCTCAAATCCCATCTAACCTAGTATTTTATTTTCTGATTTCATTTATGGATAAAGGGATTTGCCTAACACCATACGGCTAGGGTGTAATTTCACAACTGGCTTTTGCTGATCTGAGCTGCTTTCAGACAAAGTGTGCCTGCCCTTGGTCACTCTTTGTTTTTCTTCAGCCAGTGTTGATATTCATTGACTGATTGCACAGTCAGCCACAGCACAGACGCCATCCCCCTGCAGTGTTGGCTTAGGCATGAGGAATAAGACAGAAATATACTGGGACAAAAGGTGGGAGGAAGGATCAGTTCACATTAGTTTAGCATAATCATAATCATGTCCTAAAGCAGCTGTGGAGAAGAAAACAAAGCACACGCTTGTTGTTTCCAGTTCTTGTGATCTAACAAGTCTTTCTACGCTTGTTAAAATGTGACACTGAATCATGTTGAACTCAACAGTTTATTTATAGCTATTTTTTGTTAATCTGTCACCCATGAATAGGGCATGAATAAAGAAAACACACCACTTTCTTGGGATATTTGCCAGTTTCTGCCATGATAATTGGGAAAACTCAATTCCAGATATTGAGGATTGGAAAGATTAGACATATTGTATGTAAAGGTTACACATATATAGAAGTCCCTGGTTTTAGCTTGCATTAATATGATTAGAAAATACGTCATTGTCTCCTCACTGGAAATATCAGCACTTAATCTTATTAACCCAGAAAGTGAAGAACTTATGCATAAATTTTTTGGGTCATACTTTTAGTCTCTCTTTTTTAAAAAAATATAAGCTATTCCTATTGTGACATTTTGTCTCAGGAATTTATTCACATAGCTCTCCTAAACCCTGTTTCTTCATCCAGTGCCATTCTATGACTTCTGTGTTACTATTTTTCTCCACTTCATGTTACTAGTCACATTTGATATGCTTTAATAGTATTTCTAACTCCACAGCTGATGTAACTTTTTTTATTACTGCTATAATTTTAATGTTCTTTCCTTCTGTATGTTTTCCTATCTTATCTTGATTTCATCTTTTCCTAGAAGCTTTTTTCACATGTCATGTTTACTCTTGTTACTCATATTGAGGATTTTATCTTCAAACCTTTAGAAAAGGGAAGGCATCAACGGATGAACAACTGGGTTTTGAGTTAGAAACTCGCATAAGTATATCTAGTTACTTACTGAGGTGATAGTATCTTTGAAAAATTCTGAAAATCTCTCTCGAGAGCAGTGACATTAGTAGAGATGGTAGAAAATTAATAGTATCTTCTATTAGGGAACTATCCAAGTTAAACATTTATGTACATGCTTAACTACCTTCCTGGGTCCTTAAAATATACATTCATTAGATCTATTGGTTTAAACGTTTAAGTAAAAAAAAAAACCTTTCTATCCTTAAACCCCAAATTCTATCTACTCTTTGTGATAATCTTTTATTCTGCAAAAAACTTTGCAGCAAGTCTTGATTTTGTAAGATTCAAACCATTGCATATTTCTAGCCATTGCTTTTAAACAGAAGTTCCATTTTCATTAAAATAGGTATTCTTTATTTTTTTCTTTCATTCTTCATATACTGACAGCTGAATTTGCATGGTCCAGATGGACCATTGTCTTGATTCAATAGGACTTTTCTTATGTTAAAAAAAAACCATCAAGGCCAGCAGCTCTTTGTCTCCAGTCACATACAGTGGTCCTAGGATATACACATGCTTCCCCCAACCTCCAAAGCTCCAAATGAGTCAGGTGAAAAGGCTGCCCCTGAGCTTACAAATGTGGCACTGGTTTATAGTGTGATTCAGAAAGCGTGCCCTTTCTACCTGGAGGTGTGACATGTGAGGATGTTTGTATATGCAAGGTGATAAATAATCTTGGAAGACCCAACTCAGTCTTCTGTATAGCATGTTTCGTAAAAGCAGTTTAAGAAAAGCTTAAAATCAATTGAATGATGCAGACAAGATTATTGCAATTGAGAAAGGCATGATGAGAAGAGAACAGTCTTGTCTTTGATGCAGTCATGATTTGGCAAGACAGTGAGCTGTAGTATTTCAGAAATGATGGTGATTATAGCTAAATCACTTAGTGGGCATTTGTTTGTTCTTGTTCATGGGATGAGGCTGCTGGTACATCTTAAAGAGTGTACATCTGTAAAAGCAGTGAGCTGAAAACTAGAGCTTTACCACCAATACTGCTATTCCCTGATGTCCTCTAATCCACTGTGGTGCATCTGTGGGTAGTGGTGTCACCGTTCTCTTAAGAAGCACAAGCTATTGTGACCTTCAGAAATGTCAGCCATACACTGAACACTTGGTGTCTTGCTGTCTCCCTCCCCATATATCAGGCCCCCTCCTATTTTATCTTTTTTTTTTTCTGTTCTCTATTTCTATTCTTTTAAAATAAACTGTGGGTGAATGCACTGCCTTTTGTGATATTGGTATGAACCTGGGACCGGAGTAGAAACCAAAACCAAAACTATACAGTGGTTTAAGTTTGTCAGACCCTGTGTCTGGAAAGACAATATAACGCATTCTTGTTCTGCTACACAGGAGAGTGCAAGTGAAAACTAGCGTTGTAGGCAACATCACATTCTCTGTCACTGATAGTTCTGTATTTTTCCATGATGTCTGTTTATCTCATTTCACTTTAGATGAAGTAGGTGATTGCTCATAGCAGCAATAACATGCATGGTTCCAGATCATTTCACCTAACTTTTTCTCTCTTCATTAGATAGTTAAATTCAACATCCAAAAGACAAAGAGAGCTCCCTGTCTAACAGTAAAGAAAATAAGAACAAAAGAATAATATTACTCAACTATTAATTCTTGGCATTTCAAATAATTCTATTTGCATCACTGTACCTTTAATCAATAGACTTTCAAGAATGTTGTGATAGGAAGTCAGAAACATCTTGATAGCAAAATCCAGACATGGTTAACTGAGGGTTTAAATACTGTTTTATCCTTTGTGGCATTAGGGATATGGACAGCAACGGTCTAGCAGAACCTGACAGTAACAGCTTGCTTCAGTCAGAGGAAACTGATTTCCTGCATGCTTTAAATCTGAAGTTTTTCCAGTACAGTTGCATCCATAACAAAATTTGGCATTATAGTGTGCTACTGTTCCTTTATATTTCTAATACATTCCAAGTGTATACACAGGTTTAACATCCGCTCATTTTTGATTTATGGGATTTATTAAAACCTTCCAAATCTCCTTGAGAGACAGGTAATTATTCCATAAAATGCAAATATTTGCTGTTCTATTTTTATTTCTAGGTTAACAGAATCAAAACTCCAAAGCAGATAGACGAGCTTATAGAAATAGAGAGCGATACAGGAACTTGGTACAGGAGGTGTTTTGTTAGAATTCGCACAGAGCTGTATGGCGTAAGTAACAACATCTCTGTTTGTTCTGTAACCTGTTAACTTTCCTCTTTTTAATTAGTCTTCAGATATGGGATGGATTATTGAGCTCATGCTGGTGATTGCTGCAATGCTGCATTTTCCATGCACTGGCAGATTCAGGAACCTGTGCAAGGTTCTCATTTCCTGACCCAGGAGAAATGCTGGTGAATCATAGAGGTTGGTCCCAGTTTGTGAGAAGGAAAATGGCTGATAGTTATGTAGCCATATTCCCAAGCACCATGGTATAATACGTACTGGAAATGTGTATCAATAAATACGTATAGAAAGAGGTGACACATGATGAGATGGAAAATTTGCAGCATGAACTTGAGGCAGCAACATTAAGTACAAATGGTAAAGTCATGAATAAATTGTGTAAATGGATGCCATAAAATCTTTATAAGGCTTTGTATCTGCATGTATTTTTAAGCATGTTAAATGTTTTACCAGAAAACTATGTTAGAGCTATTTCAGAGGGTTTAATGCAAGTTCAATGAGAGTATGCTCTTCTTTACTTCCTTGCAAAGCCAAAATTATGCAGTACCTTTGAACCTTGTAATGAAAATTGAGAAAAGTCTCATTATTAAAAAAATAAAAGTTAGGAATATCTTTTAACAGCTGTTAAATATCTGGCATCTTGAAGGTCTCCAGAGCTATGATAAAGTGCTGTAAAACAAGGTTTGTCACAATACTGCTTGGCTTGGAAAAATGGCATTTTCACTATAAAAAAAAAAAAACAAAAAAAACCCAACCAAACAAACCCAGAAGGTGTCTGCTTTTATAGTTATTTGTACACAAATGAAGTAGTTGAAGATTGAAATGTTATGATTTTGCCTTGTTACCAAACCACCTTTAAAACTAAACCACTTAGTTACAGAGCGGCTGTCTCACATGCTTGTTATCTCACTGGACTAGACCCTGGGTTAGAGCTCCTTGTTGCACAATGTGCGCTGAAACCTCCTTAGACAGGCTGATACGTCTCTTCAAAAAGAGAAAATCATCTTGAGATGAGAGAGAGGGGAGAGACCACCATTCTCAGTTGGCTCTGCTGTAGTGTCTCTGACCTGGAGGTAGTCCCATCTTTTCCTCATAAAGTACCAGTTTCTAGCTGTGGTAGGTTATGACAGATCAAACTCTGTGTCACTATTGAATTATGGAATATAGTTTATCTAAACTTAAAGCAGTGTAATACTGGGAAGTCAGAAGAAAACATTTTTTACAAGATCTCTGTTTATTTGACATAGTGAAATGAAGTTGCCTAGATATTGGAAATTTTGAGGTGATCAGAGCAGAGGGTGAATTAATAAACACTGTGCATACTGGTGTGTAAATAATTTTATATAGGCCAGCAATGTGTGCTTGCATCCCAGAAAGCCAATCACATCCTAAGCTGCATAAAAAGAAGCATAGCCAGCAGATCTGCCTCTCTACTCTGCTCTTGTGAGACCCCGCCTGCAGTACTGTGTCCAGCTTTGGGGCCCCCAACGTAAAAAGGACATGGACTGTTTGAGCAAGTCCAGAGGAGGCTGCACAGATGATCTAAGGGCTGGAGTACGTGTCCTATGAGAAAAGGTTGAAAAGTTGGGACTGTTCAGCCTGGAGAAGAGAAGGCTTCAGAGAGACCTTATACCAACCTTTCAGTACCTAAAGGGGGCTTATAGAAAAGATTGAGGGAGACCTTTCACCAAGGCCTGTAGTGACAGGAGAAGGAGTAAGAATGTTAGACCATAATAGGATAGATTTAGACTGGACATTAGGAATAAATGCTTGATGATGAGGGTGGTGAGGCCCTGGAACAGGCTGTCCAAAGAAGTTGTGACTGCCCCATCCCTGGCAGTGCTCAAGGCCAGTTTGGATGGGGCTTTGAGCAACTGGATCTAGTGGTAGGCGTCCCTGCCTGTGTCAGGAAGGTTGGAAAGAGATGATCTTTAAAGGTCCCTTCCAACCTAAACTGTTCAATGATTCTATGAAAAGAAGTCAAAAGTCATATAACGTGCACAACTTGGCTATATCTGGAGATTAACATACTTATGTGACCAATGACTTGTGATTAACATAGAGTTACCTCCTATCTCAGAGGCCCTGAAGAAGCAAGCAAATCAGAATCAAAAAAGGTTTTATCATTTAACAAAATTGTTCAAAATACAATTTATAATAAATGTATTTCCTAATGATTTACAGATTTGGTTGACATTTATGAGATGCTTCAACTACCCAGTGAAGGATAATACCATCAAACTTACAGCTGTATGGTTCACCCTGTCTTTTGGGTAAGAGTGGTTGAAATCTTAAATAATTTTTGATAGACTTGAAGGACAGAAGAATCATCTGCATGCAAATTTTTATCACTATGATTATCTTTTTTATTCAGAAGGGTTTTATCCCTTATCTTTCCACAAAATGTATATCTATGTTAGCCTGTTCTTACTGCAAGCTTACCTCATCAAAAACATTTGCTTCAGAAAAGATTATCTCCTGGTGTCAGCATCTCTCAATATTTTTATTTTTGTGGTGGATTCTACTATGATGGACTGTCATGGTTTAAACCCAGCTGGTAACTCAGCACCACGAAGCTACTCACTCACCCCCCATTTTTCCCCCTCCCCAGGTGGGCTGGGAGGACAATAGAGAGAATGTAAAACCCATGGGTTGAGATAAGAACAGTTTAATAACCAAAATAAAGTAAAATGCACTGATAGTAGAAAGAATACCAACAATAGCAATAATAATAATAATAGGAAACAACAAAGAAGAAGTGAAAGCTCAGAAAACACAAGGGAAGCACAATACAATTGCTTACCACCTGCTGACTGATACCCAGCCCGATCTGAGCAGTGATTGGTCCCTTCCAGATGACTCCCCCCCAGTTTATATACTGGGCATGATGTGCTGTGGTACGGAATACCCCTTTGGCTAGTTTGGGTCAGGTGTCCTGTCTCTGCTCCCTCCCAGATTCTTGTGCCCCTCCTCACTGGCAGAGCATGAGACTGAAAAGTCCTTAGAGCAGGCATTACTTAGCAACAACTGAAACATCAGTGTGCTATCAGCATTGTTCTCAGACTAAAGCCAAAACGTAGCACTGCACCAGCTATTAGAAAGAATAAGTAACTGTTACAGCTGAAACCAGGACATGTAACAACTGCTCCATCATATAAGAGCTGCTCATCCTCAACTTAGACAGATTTCCCAATAAGTAAGACTGGCGACTGACCTTTTTGCTGTTTTTTGCAGCTACTATGGCTTATCTGTCTGGTTTCCCGACGTCATTAAACATCTGCAGTCAGACGAGTACGCATCCCGAGTGAAACATTTCCGCAATGAGGAGGTTTCACATTTCGTCTTCAACTTCACACTGGAAAATCAGATTCACAGCAATGGAGAATACATCAATGACAGGTTTAGAGATTTCCTAATATACTGGCTTAGCTGGAATAAAAATGACATTTTAAAGCATGTCCTAATAATCTCATCTTTTTCTCCATCAGCTAATGATACTTGCTTTTGTTACTTTTTAATGGGAATTTATTCCTGATATTGATTTCTTGTGCCCTGTGGAGCATGAGGAGAAATGAATCTATACATGTCCTAGTGGTTCCTGTGTGAGGATCCCCCAAGCAAACATAGCTTCCTTGTCATCCTGAAAAATAGACCAAAAAGCCTAAATTAACAGTACGTCCTTTCACATTGGGATTCAAAGATCTTCAGACCCAACACATGCAGCATACTGTAGGGGCCTGAGAATGGACATACTTTCATCTCTGTTGCTAATTCTTTATTACATGAATGAAAGATGCTTCTATGAAAATGCTGAACATTGAGACATTAGCATCTTACCACAGAAAACTAAAACCTAAATGTTACCATAAATCAATAAAAAGTACAAACAGATCTGAATGGGAAACAACACGTTGGCAATGACTTTTGTGTTGTTTTGTTGGGTTTTTTTTTCAACTGAATCTGAACATATTAAGGCTCTAGCTGGACTTCACAGATAACTAGGGAACTTAGGGGAAAATTAAACACAGCTGGTTAAGGTATCTGGTTTCTCTTAAGTTATAACCATGTGACTGGTCTGCTGGAGTTCTGATGCTAAGTAATTACTATTTCCATAGGAAAATAAATCTAGGTGAATAAAATTACCGGCTTTTGTAATACAAGGCTTTTAAAATGGTAAGAAATTGAGTTTTGACACAACTGGAAGTTTATGCACTTCAGAAAAAAAGATGCAGTTATCTCATTTTCAAACTAGCCATAGCTTTCCAGTTTCACTCCTTTCTAGGAGGTAAATTTTCTCCTAAAAGCAAAGAACTATCTACTGTCAGTAACCGGCAGCACTCCATCAGCTGGGGTCTTATCAATTTAAACTGAAAATTCTTGTAAAACACTTGATCTAATATTTATCTGCTCCAAAACACTAACTTACTCTTTCAAATGTGCAAATTTAAGAAGCCTCTGACAGTTATATGAGATGACCAAAACATATTCCGCAGAAGTATTAGCTCATTTGATATTCTTCCTCCACAAAGATTTAAATACTCCACCCACCCTCAATGTGTATTTCCCTCCTGTTCTTTCTTAAATAGAAGATCGATTAGTACTTGACTTTTTGCTTTGTTACATCTCTCTTGGGTTTTAATGCAAATCATAGCAACACGAATTTTAATATAGTCATATTTCCTATCCAAAGCTAGAAAGTGCATCAGAAGAATGTAGGACATGTAGTCTGTCATTTCTTTTCCAACTGACTAATTTAATTGCTAAATTTTCTTTGTTCTCCTCTGGAATTAGGCTACATTTTGAAATGGCAAGTGCCATATGAAAAATGATAATGAGTTGACACTAAACACTGATTTTAATCAGTCTGTCACAAATAAGAAATGATACAGTAAATGAAACTAATGGGCTGAAAACACCATTCTTCTGACCAATAGACAAAGAGAATTCATTAGCTGGAAATCTTTTCCTGTAGCAAACATGGTCATCTTTTCTCTCCTTTCTCATAAAGATTCCAAGAACTTTATTGGTGAGAGTTTAATTCCTACTATTTTGTAGGTAACATATTTTCTGTCCTATTGTTACTATCAGTCTTATAATAAGAAAATTATTTAGCTAGTCACACCATGTTTAATTAGAGCAAAGCCAGGTCTGTGTTTTGAAGGCTTTGACATTTTAGCAGTTCTTACAGCTGTATAACAAAGCACTGCTTTTAAAACTTTTGCCACTTTGAGTGAAATCTGCCAGCAAAACTATGAGCTTGTTCCACACCTTCATGTGAAATAGAAGACATCACAAAAATAATGATGTATTTCTACATCTCTTTTTTTTTTAATTATTAGCATAGTAATGTTATTTTCTAGAATTATACTAAAAAAGGCTGACAGCATTTTTTTATTCTATTAACATCGAGGTAGAAAATTATTGCTAGTAATGCACTTCATCATTGACTTTTTCTGTGAATTACTTGAATGACAGTCATGATCAAATTCCAGAAGCTATATGGGTCAGTAGGAAGAGGGATGTTCAGAAATAAGAAAAAGTTACTAAAAATTTGCTTATACCTGTTTTATGTACACAGTAATTGAAGTTGCACTCACATGCACAGGGGGAATAAACATAAACTTCCAGTTAGATAGGTAGCTGTGTAACTGGCAATATAATCATTGTGTTCCTGTTTTGCATTTGAGGCTAATACAACACTCACTGTGTCCGTCTGGAAAGATACAAGTTCTTTAAAATATTCTTTTCTTCCAGCTTCCTGGTACTAGCGAGCGATTGTTTGTTCCAAGATATTGAGTTTCTGGAGCATGATCTCCCAGTTTCTGACTGTAATGTCAAGTTATAAGTAATAGTTATTTTCCAAGGCTATTCCATTTATGTCATGACATTGTTTTCTGCTGATCATTAAGGACAACTAATAACTGAAATATTATCAAAGGAATTGTTGTGGCCGGTAGCTGTATGGAGCTATGCTTCTTATTAATGTTTTTTTCTGAACAATAGTATTCTAGAATCAGGTAATCATTAATTACATCCCCAGAATGCCTTTAAGGAATCATTGTTACTGGGGTTAATATTTTTTAGACCTGTACAGCTGCGTCAGCTTGACCTGTTGCTCTTTCTAACCTATGAAGGTAGACTGACAGAAATTATTTCTACTGGGCAGGTTTATTATGATGAAGTTTAAATCAGTAACCTTTGAAGATTCACTTTTTAAGAACTGTGTGTTTGAAGATATTACTTCACTGAACACATACTTCAGGAACTGTACTTTCGTGAATACCACCTTCTCCAACACAGGTATTATGAGAAAAAACACTGAATATCCATTCAGCTGTGTGTTCTCACATTTGTAATTTCTGGATTTCTGATAAGGCATACTAAAAGCCCTCTTGTAGGGAATAGAAAGCTATAAAAAAGCAACAGGCCTCTGTAATGTAACAGAAAAGCGAAAGGATCAGATCACACCTGCATACATCAGGCCTAATATTGACTCAGATAATAAACTTCTCTTTGATATTAATATCTCTAAAGAGATTCACACTGGAAGGGAGAAAATATATTTATTGCTTTACTGGTAGGTTTAACCTGGGGGGGAGGTTACTTCATCTAAATAGGACTGGTGAAATACATTGTTCATTGTGCTTCCTGTGACATGAGAATCAGAGTTCATGATACAACCTACCTGATCTATAATCATTCCCACTCTCCTAAGTATTGTAACAAAAATGGGAATGCATATTTTCATACGTTAAACAGAGGACTCTTTTTTTCTCACTTTATTAAATCATAACTGAAAGTAGAACATGGCCAGCTAAGCTTGTGGAAAAGATGGGGCACTTCCTACCAGTTTCAAGCAACTGCATCAGTCATACTATTAATAGACCTAGGTTTCAAAGCAAGTGGCACCCATCTTTCTTTGCATGAGAGGAAGGTATTCATGATTCAGGGTTATAAGGCTGACAGGAGGAATGGAAAGCAAGTGGAAGTTTAGGAAGAGATCTCTGAAATGCTATTGGAAGAATGGCATGTGGGAGCTCATCTGTGTTTGAGCTGAAGACCATGAGGCCTTCTCAGAAATGAAAATTAGTTTAATCTGAATTCTGTATGAATGTCTCACTATAAAGGAAGTCAAACCAAACTGACCGTAATTTGCAGTCTCATCTAAAAGGCTGTCTGATGTGGAAACAGAAGATCTGATACCAAGCAAAACAGAGTGATAGAAACTTGCAGATATCCAGTACCTTTTATGCAAGACCAGCTGGTGCTGAAAGAACTTAACCAAATACAGTCCAAGCAGAACTGAAATTCAGTAGTCTATCCTGCCTAACTCAAGGCCTTAGATCCTTTTTTTCATGAGCTTTGCATATTTTTGTATTAAGATAAAAAGGTATCAAAATTAGCAGCAATAACTAGTTCCATTTTATGAAGCAATGAAAGCTCAGAATTGTCATTAAAGTTGTGTAAACTTGAAATGTTTCTACTCAAATGCGGCACATGGAGTCAGCTGTTACCTGAAATGTCCCTTTTTCTTCTTTTCACAGATCTCGAGCAGTATAAATTTGTTGACAGCGAATTGATAAATTGCACATTTTTCCACATCAGGACAGGATGCCAGATTTCTTTTGATGACGACTACAGTGCCTACTGGATTTACTTTGTTAATTTCCTGGGAACCTTGGCAGTGTTACCAGGGAATATTGTGTCCGCTCTCCTGATGGATAGAATTGGACGGTTAACGATGCTAGGTAGAGGCTTTGATTTAAAACAGGGAACAACACCAAAATCTAAAGCTCTCCTGATAAAGTAATACATGCTCTTTTTAAAGACTTTAGTTCAGACAGACACAGAACATTCCTTCTGCAGATACTTTGTTTCTGTGGCATCATAAGTGCCATTTTAAAGCATCACCAATTTAGAAACTGTGGGAACAAAAGGTTCTGTAACCAGTTCTGCTATAGCCACAGTATCAGTCATTGCTCTTCCACATTGATATTACAAAACCATTATTTAGGCATTTGAGATGAGATTTTGGAGAGTGATGACCGTTGGCTCCTCTCTGCTCCAGCTGAAAGAAAAGAGAGATGTGCACAGGTGAGATGTGCTGAGATGCTCCTCAGCTAGTGGAGCAGCCCCTTGGAAGAGTCAGAAGTCCTTTGCTGTTACCTACCTTGCAAAGTAAGACAACTGAAAGATAATTCCCGTGGATTATCGTCAATGACAAATCTGTTTTCAATTTACTTAAATCTGGTTTACTTAAATAACTATGTGGTAGTTCAGTGAGTATATTTTCTAGGATAATATCTCTATATAAGTGCAATTCCCACTCAGTGTTTTTATTGCTACAATATTTAAATGAGTTTCATGTAATTGCAGAAGATGATAAACAAGGGATAATGGGGTTGTTTTCCCTGAATAGCTTAATTATGGATTTCAGAGGGGGTTTCAATAAACTTTATACTACATACTTTATGATATATCCTAATACTTGAGGAGTTACTTTTTTTTTTTTCCTATGAAAAGTCTGCCTGACTGGTCTTTCTAGCAGAGGAGGTCTCTTTAACTCAAGTATATGTGTCATTTATTTAGGTGCACTGTGTGTTTAGAAACATCAGACAAAACAAAAAACGGTAATTTTAAAAATACAGCTCCGCCTCATGCTCGTTTTACCTGTTTCAAACCTAGGTGGTTCCATGGTTCTCTCTGGCATCAGCTGTTTTTTCCTGTGGTTTGGGACCAGTGAATCCATGATGATAGGTATGCTGTGCCTCTACAATGGCCTCACCATCTCAGCATGGAACTCTCTAGATGTTATTACTGTGGAGTTATATCCTACTGACAGAAGGTATGGGCACATACATCTCCCCTAACTTTACTGACACTATGTATCAGCAGAAATGGTAATTGGAAATGGTTACCTATGAGCTTTACAGAGGTGAGTGGTATTTTGAGTGGGCTGAATTAATAGTTTGACTTACAAAGGGGAAAAAAGGTGGTTTTGAGCTATTTGGGATTTTGCATCAAACATCACCTAATGAGGAAAATACCACAAATGTAACTTCATGTGAAAAAAAAAGGTCTAACTGCTACTCTCATTTAAAACACAGCTAATGACTAGTATTTCTGAAAACAATAATGGAATATTTCTGGGTTTCTCTTAGTGCAGCTGGCTATAAAGACAGTTGTTGGTCCGAAACAGCAATAAAGCTACATTAGTCTGTCAGCTGTGAAATGGTGGGGATGATAATAAAAATCACTGTCTGGAGCTGAACATCATCTTCTGGATGAGACTGTGGGCTTGAATCATGCTGAGCTGTTAATCAGTCTGCTACAGATTTGTATTCAGGGTCACTAGAAGTGTACACACTCAGCATTAAGAGGATACAAAAATGTCTCAGGCACTGTTCCTGAGTTTTCAGAGCTCTTACCAGAAAACTCAGAGCAGTTTTCATGTCCTGCAAGCATTGCTGCTAGATGACACGGTTTGGCTTTTATTCCCAGAAACATTTTCATGCTAATTTTATGTCACTTAATGGAATAAAGGAAGAAGAGTTGAGTCTTATGCTATTGTATGTCATGTGTAAGAACACATTTTCTTGGAAAAACTGGGATATTTCTCCTTCCTTCTCTCCTGAAACAAATTTTATGCAAAATTGCTCAGGCTTCTGCCTAGGGACAGTGTGCTTTTTCTCCTGTCACAGTCCTATTCATTATGTCATTCACTAGAAGTTTCAAATATGACAAAAAATATCTCCAGTTTATAAATGCATGACACCTTCTTTTTATTTGCATTATGAAAGTATATGCTTCTTCATGCAAGACATTGATATGCACTGTTGTGTTTGTATTGAATAACCATACTAGGCTACTTACGAATCCAAAAAACTAAGCTTTAATATTGAGAGATAATGTTTATATTATACCTCAGAAAATTGCTCTCTTGGCAAGAATTATTCCATCATCTAAACTCTATAATATAATTCTAATAAATATATAGAAATAGCTATCTTTTTTTTGCATTCCTGAATGTAGCAATGATACATATTTTCTTAAAATGAAGTGAAGAAAAAACAACTGGAAAAGCCATTGATGTTAATGGAAGCAAAAATAATCATTACTAGGAATGATAAAAGGAATGTAACTGACATGTATTCCAGATCATTTATACTGGTAGATAATAGTTGTTTCAAATAGTTTTTGCTATTTTTGGGATTGCAGAAACTCTTCCCCATTTTTAATTTTTAAAAAGCTTATGTGTGCAATAATAGCTTTCTGGAACTCCACTTCAGAAATTTACTTGCAGCTGAGTTGTTGGCATTTTTTGCAACAACTTAGATGGGGCTTAGCCCTTTGTATTATCAACATAAAAACGCTGGTAAGCCAAGTCTACCTGTGCCAGGAAAGGCACTGCCCACACATACTGTAGATGAGGTGTTTTTTTCAGAATTTTAAAAGTGATGGAACTGTCACTGCCAGTTTTTGCCAGCTGATCGTAAGAAAATTCTGAGTTCTAAAGTCACTTCCTAGATGTGGTTTTTTAGACTTTGGCAAAGCTTATTCATGTTTCATAGAATTATTTGAAAACTAATACCTGCAGGGACTCAAATAACTTGCTTCCCAGGATTTTTTTCTTTGTTTCTTTTTTTTTTATCCAGACCAACTGCAGTTTATAAGCCGTCACTGCCCACCTCTGATGGTCCTGTCTTCCCTTCTAATAGATTTCTTATCTCCACAGCCGGTCATAACTCGCCATAACTTGCCATATTTTGCTGGGAATTTTCACCTTCTGCAAGTAGGTGTAGGGCTGAGCAGCCTTCCCAGGCATATATGGTGCAACAAGCTGTATGATCTGCTTTTGCACATGAGGTCCTTCATACTTATAATGATGATCTGTTTCAGTGGAAAGCTGCATCCAGAGAGAATCTGGTCCTGAACCTGGTTTTCAGCTTCCTCTCAAAAGATAATCTAGGCACAAAAGCTTTGCTCACTCTGTCACTATTTTACTATTCCAATAGACACATTTTTGTACACCCAGTCAGTGAAATGACCACAAATGAGCAGCAAAGTGCAGCTGGAGATTGGACTGGAAGAAAAGTATGTAAAGGAGGCTAGTTCATGCTGCCATGCACTAGAGACCAAGCTGGGTAGCCCCTGCTTTTCCTCCTGTGCAACTCCTCTTGGAGACTAGCCAGATGCCAAATCAGTGGGACTTTGACAGTATTGTGCAGCATAATACAAAAGGTGTTTCATAAATTGTACTCCACGTTATTTAGGGACTATACTGGCTTTTTGCCAGGTAAGGGTGTGGTGAGCAATTTGGAAATGTGCTATATGCAACACACACACACATCTAGCACACGTCTCAGTTCCTTCTTCATCAGCTGCCTGCAAGGCAGAGTTAAGGTTGCTTCAAAATCTTGATAGATTTGGTTTCTGTATGCATTCACACTGATCTACGTAACCACATATTAATTTTCTAGTGTGTGGATTTGAGGTAATTAAGTAGTTTGTCCTGTCTTTTTGATGAGCACTATCAAATTTTATGCTATTTTAGCATAGCTTTTGCCTGCATGTTCTGTATACAATCTCAGTTTATTTACACAACTGCTAAAATATGTTCAAGGTTGTATAGATTTCAGGTGGTTGTCAGGTAGATGATGAAGTTCTGTTAAAAGCTGAAGATACTTTACTAATGGTAGTTCTAGGTGGTTTTCTGTCTTCCAGATGACACTCATGGTGGTGATAAATAATCTTTTGATATTTCTTTTCATACACAAATTTTAAAGGATGGTCATGATGACTAGCTATGAACCAGATGATTTCCAATAAGCAACTAAATTAACCCAGCTCCACAATGTGAAGAACTTGTTTTAAGTCATCTTTTGTCTCATCATATCTGTTTTACCTTTTCTTCTTAATGTGGTATTCTGGACTAATCAGCACATTCTAAGAAGCCTTTGGTCAGCTGTTGAAGGCCAAACCAATATATTCCATAGCTCTGCTCTCAAGAAGATCTGTTAAATGTCTTTTAATCATTTTTGGATGCTCCAGAGAGCTTTCGTACTCTTTTATAAACTTTCCATATTTTTCAAACACTGCTTTGGAAAGAGGTGATGGCTGTAGCAACTGAGGCACAGAGGAAAAATAGATTGTTAAAACTTACTTTAGCACTGTCTGTTAGGAAAGGAAACCTGTGGACTGGCACACATGGTACCAACTATCCCTAAGCATTTTTGATGAGGGAATGTCTGGAAATGTAACTTCCACTGCTCAGCGCTTCAGCAACACAAACCTGAAGGTGCTAAGCTGAACATCCAGAAAATGTGAAATGCATACTTTATGACTATTTAGTTAGTTTTATGTGACTTGCTCACGTCATATATGAATTTTGTGGCAGGGGTAGTGATTGTATACTTTCTTCTGATAGCACTCAAATACTTTAACCAATGAGACTGCTTTCTCATCTTGCAGTCCCCAGCTTAATTCACAGTGCGTCTTCCAAATTTCTGCAGCAGATGAAGGAAACCAAGTTTGTGTTTTACCCTCAAGCTGTCTTTGTTCTCTGCACTGGCAGAGTGATGCGGAAAAAAAATACTGTGTGATGAGGTCATTATGGCTTGTGTTGTAATGTGTGCCCAAGGGGCTTGCAAGAACATTGTAGCTTCCTACCTCTGCCTGTAATATAAATATGAATGGAAGAGAGTTAAAATTCTCTGAAGAATTAACATACAGGAGGTTTTTATGACTTTAAAATGCAATCATTAGTTTTACATAAGTGATAAATATCTTGTTGTGAACTAGCTTGGGAAGCACAAACTTTTTAAGGCCAGACTCTTGTCAAGGAGTAGATACAACCAGTAACCCAAACCCAAACAGCAAGTGGAATAGAAGTAGGTCAACTCCCGCAAAGTAAATCAAGGTCAGATTGTATCAGATAACCTACAATTCATCAGTTTTATTACAGCTGCCAGACATCTGATTTTGAATCTTGGCCAGGAATATTTAAAATCCAGGTTTTGCTATAAAATGAAGTCATCTTGTTTTGCCTTTTTTTTAATACCTCAGAAACAAGCTCAGAAGGGCTTGGTTGTAATTAAGTCACCTATCTTTAGTTAGTTACATTTCTTGTTCTCCTTTTCTTGAGCCCTGAGAATCTGTTCCCAGAGTAATAAATGTTATTTGTAGGGTATTTAAGTTCAACTTTGATTTGCTGTGGCTGTTAGAAGAGATGTTTCCTATTCTTTTGAGTCATGACCACAGTCATAGACTTACAGCAGACCTCCTGATAGTTATTTTCTACTGCCATCCTGTGGATGTGCTTCAATTGCATTTTGCTGGAATTTCATGTTAATTTGTTTAAGGCATGACACGTCAAACCTATAGGAGGCTTTGGGCAGTAGTTGAAGCAGGGAGACAAATACCACAGTTTTACTTACTTGCACACTGAATGCTGTAATTCACCCAAATATGATATCCATCTTTTCTTTTTTTTTTTTTTTTTTTACGAACTTGAGATGTTCGGACATGAGAGAATTGTTTGTAGCATATTCAGAAGTCGTTGTAATAGTCTTTGCATATTATCAACACCCACAAAATTATATTCAGATGTTTTTATAATTTTCTCTGGTAGGCTTCACACTAGCTCTGGCAAGAAACTTACCAAATTTCTGTGCTACACACATTCAGTAGCACTATGGGACCATGACGTGTTTAGGTACTCTAACTATCAGCAATGGAAAGGTGGTCTTGAAGTATTATATGTGGGAATATACGTACCTGTCCAAGAAGGAACATATGTGGCAATCACGGAACAAGCTCTTTTAATCTGAAGGCCTGGATAATCCTTCTATTTTTAACTGTTTGGACTATTATCATTTTTGTGTGGGGCTTGGGTGAAAGGAAGATGAGCATTTTACTTCGTAGTAGCTTTCCCAGCAAGAGGTAAAATACATTGGGGAAAATTCATTCTCTGTAAGATGCATCTTTCTATCAGACCTGACAGTTTTACAAGACTTATAAGACTGCTGCATTTTTCTTCTATCAATACTAAACTATGTAACTGGTTTTACTCATTGTGATTTTTTTTGTTTCTTTGTTAGCTTGGATTGGGGGGGGTTTGTTTAATTTTTTTGGTTCTGGATTGGTTTGGTTTGGTTTGGTTTGACTTGGTTTGGTTTGGGGTTTTTTAAAGGCAATTCCAAACTGTTTCACCAGCATTGTATCACTGATGTGCCAAGGGGCTTTGATGACATTCTCTGGCTGGACAAGGGAATCTTGCTGCCATACTCCTTTGACAAGTAATAAGGATTGTTCGTGAAGTCAAAACGACATTTTTGTGCCAGTGCTTCACCTAGTAACTGATCAACATAACAGAAATTGGTGTAATGGCCTTATGCTGTTGGATTTTTTCATTTATACATGTGTGTGACGCATCAAGTGTCTTTGATCATTTGCAGACTTCCTGTACACTTTAGCACTTTCCTGAAACACTGTAGCAGAGGCTGAGCTAGTGCTGCAACAGAAGACTCTTCTTGTACATGCATGTGAATTGCCGCGTATTTATTGCCCAGCTATTTTTATTCTGGGTTCAGCAGGATTAAGTATAAAGGCATGAATTAATGCAGATTTTGACTGATCTGAATCGCAAACACTCTTCTAAGAAAGATGTTTAAAACACAGCAAGTCTAAATTTACTATCCCTAGAGCTCAATAGTTTGCTTAATGACTTTATTCTGTAAGTACACAACAAATACATATTCAAACACAGCATTAAAATTGAAGGATATGAAAGCAGACTACTGAACAGGTTGCAACAATATTTTACTTTAGCCTGTAAAATTCTTGCTGTTCCTGCCAATGAAGCGCGTATTTTAGGGAAAAAGATGTGCCTGAAAACTGCTTTAAGATCAAAAGATTGAACTTCTGCGGGGTTATTCATGTCGCATCATAAGAACAGCCAAGAGCAATGAAAATGGGCTTACTTTGTCTTACTCTGTTTAAAATTTTATAATATTAATGGGATTAGATTAATTGACCCTTTACAATTGGAAAAATTAAGTAAGTCCATTTTACAAAGCAGAGCCATTTTCTCAGTGCCAACAGATTAACTTACTTTTACTCAGACATAAAAGATACTGTATTACAGAATTACTTTAAACCTTATTAAGGTAATCTTGGCTATATAACCTATAGTATACCTAAAACACATTGTCAGCCCTGAATGTGCTATTTGCAGAGGAAAAGAAATATATTGCACAGGAAAAGAAATGATTTAAATTGCTCAGCAAACTGTGTTTGGATCCTGCTATTTCTAGTTGATACAAGCAAACAGCATCTGTAAAACAGCTTATCTTTATAAGGCAGTATAAAACAACGCTGAATATAATATCCTCATATGTTGTGCTTTTGTGCATTTCCACAGATTTCCTGCATGTATCCATCCAAATTTGCTTTAGTTAAATATATGTATTTTTTAGGGAGTTCTGGTATACCTCTGAATATCCTGAGGCTGTTGATGACCAGGTGTCTATTTTCTGCATATGAATGCTTGTTTTGTGGTTTGTTTTGTTTTTTTTTTCTTGTTACTGTTATTTGGGGGCAAGTTTGGTTTCACAGGAGCACCAGCAGCTGAAGAAATTGTATTCACATGTACAGACACTGACTGCAACCACCACCGCAACTTCAGAAATACTTTCTGTGTATAAATGTGGCTGAAATTAGAATAGTTCTTTTTTCCTTTCCTTCTTCTCTGACTTATTCAGAATAGCTACAACCTGCTATATCCTATCACATAAACAGTGTTTTCCAGGCTGGCTGTGTCATCTTTAACCTCTTCCTGCCTGTTTAATGTCTATTTTACAACAGCCTTTTCTCTTCATGCTCCTTCTTCCTACCTGCACTCTCTTCTACCCTGGAAGATGCATCAGTCTGTAGCTCCTTCCCACTCAGGAGCTTTTCCCCATCCTGGATCAGCTTCCTCCAGATATTCTGGGCTTTATCTGGCCTTGCAGTATAGATGTTTCTGTGGTAGGGATTTGATCTTCTCATAGGCTTTGGAGGATTACTCCAGTAGGGTGGCTCTTGGCTACTTCCTTCAGTGCATCTCCTGCTCCTTCTTTACACCAGTTCCTTCAAATGTCATTCTTAAAATGGGCAAATTTTAACTTACCCATTCCTCCTCTGGGGAACATATTTTCAAGGAGCTGCTGCAAATATTTCTTTGTCAGAAAGCTTCATAAACAACACCTCCAAAGTTTCCTCAACTGCTGCCCTCAGCAGTTTGCTCTCCAGTAGCCATCACTGGTCTGCACTGTCAGGCAGCATAGAATGTTGCTTATAGAATGGTGGACTCATAGAATAGTTAGGGTTGGAAAGGAACTTAAGATTATCTAGTTCCAACCTCCAACTTCCAAGTTACTTATTTTCAGGATGTGCATGTTTAGCTCTTCTTGGCAGTAGGTAGGTAAAAATATTGCAGGTTTAATTAAATGTAGAAAAAAACAAGTAGGTAAGGACTTTGAACATTCAGGAGGTATATCTGAGTCTCTTTTGCTTGTTTTCAACTTTTTTCTGGGTAGTTTCTGATTTGCCATTTGCATGCCTGATCTCTCCTTCCTTAGATATTGCTACATATTGGCATGCAGCGTGTGAATGGGTACAATGCTTAGCACAAAAAGGAATTATGATTACTTCAGACAAATAGTAATTACTTTTTAAAATCTCAGGTATTTTAAAGAGACACTGTTTTGATTGCTAGAGACTAATCACCAAACTAATAATAAATATATTATGATAATGATCACTGAGAAGAAGAAATGAACTTGTGTTTTGTCTTGGGGTCAGAAAAAGCATGTAATACACAGAGCTGACACTGGAACAGTAAGTATCAGCTTTTCTGGTTTTACTTCCATAATGTTTTATGCAAGAGTGTTGGCTTTTGTCTGCAACCATGGACAAATGAATATTTAATAATAATGGGAAAAGAAACACTTTCTGGAGGTACAATAATCAGTCTGTTCCATGTTTTAACTCTGTTCTACAAATGTCTTTTTAACTGATTTAAGAATTTGACAATAAAAGTACCGTTACTTCAAATTAGCACATTTCTGAATCTTGTTTCAGGTTCTGGAGTTGACTCTATGAGCTAACTAGAGTTGTGCTTCTTAAACTAAAGTGACTTAGAAATACACCAGAAGGATCTACTCTCATCATTCTTTTGGTGCAGGGTCCTCAAGTCTATCAGGAGTGGTAGAATTCTGAACCACAGCATGTCAGATACAGCCAGGGCACAGACAATCCTGAAATCCCCTATATCCTGGTCAGCTATACTAGAGAGAAGTTTTTACCTCTCCCCGGTATAAGGCCTGGAGGTAGGAAACCAGCACTCTTGAGATCTAGTTTGCAGGAGAACAGAGGAGATTGGTAGCTCTGGGCAGTGGCCATGTCCAGCAGTTTCTTGAGGCAGAGGATCCTTCTCCCTTGACAACACGATTTGCTGTTTTCAAAGTCAGAGACTAGTTCTAGGAAAAATATTGTTTATGTCTTTTTTCCTTCTAATGGCAATACTTAACAGGAAAGAAATATTTTGTTCTGAAACGAAGAACAGCTACCTTCCTAATTCATATTATTTTATCTCAGAGAGCACAGTGTGACCTCCACATACTCCTTCCCTCTTTCACTTCTAAGAAATCTGAGACATTTTTGAGATTCTATTGTACAGATATTTTTGTTAAGATATTTTTGTTAGGGCGAGGCTATTGTTGCAATAATGAGTCATACAGTCAAGTAAAGTATAATTTATTAATTTAATTGCAGTTTGCGTAATACATCTATGCACAGGTTACCAAGCATCTAAAATACTTAATACAGGCTACTAAAATCACACCAGTGCAATGCAAAAGCCCCTCAGAACTGCCTGTGTCATACTTTCTGTCGTCACTCTATTTCTTTTCCCTTTTCTCCAAAGTTTCTCAGATATCACTCCTGCACCAAGCAGGTTTTTATATACCCTATTCTCATTGCCTCCAAGAGACAAACATTCATTATTACTAGAGGTCTTATTTTTTTGAAAAAGCACTGGTTGAATATGTACACCACCTGTAAGAAATCCATTTCTATTCAGTGCCCCAAGATGAACATTCTTTTATTCTGATGGCTTCTTTCCAAAATCACCAAGTAGCTCTATTTTGAACTCTTTTGATTCCTCCTGTCTCCCAATCCAGCATTTGAAGTATTACTGAATTTTCATTTGCAGGCCTTTGATCTACTGTGGAGGTGTGAACGTAGCTATTCAGTCATTCATTCCCCATTTTGGTCCCTGAGGCAGCAGAATGAATTTGCTTTAATAAAATATTGTAACAGCTGAGCTTTTATTTTGCATTATAGAGACAAGCACAGAATCCTTCTTGGCATAAGTTCTGTTTAAGATGTTTGGGCTATACTGATTTATTCCTGCTGAGGATTTGTCTGAAAGGCCTTACTCTCTAGCCCATTTTTAAACTTTCTTCTGTTTTCTCTTCTAGGGCAACAGGTTTTGGCTTTTTGAATGCACTATGCAAAGCAGCAGCTGTGCTTGGAAACTTAATATTCGGTTCCCTTGTTGGTATCACCAAAGCAATCCCTATTCTCCTTGCTTCTACTGTTCTAGTATGTGGAGGTCTCGTAGGACTTCGTCTTCCTGACACAAGAACCCAGGTGTTGATGTAATGGGAAAAAGCCATTTACTATTTATTTATTTATTTATTTGTACAAATGTCAACCCTCCTGACCAATGGTGCAAAGGCTTCAGATTCTCAATGCTTAGTAGAGTACTCAAATGTCAGAAATCAAACCCAAAACGCATTTGGAGTGGCAGAGATTTAGAAACCTCTGTATGAAAATTTCAGATTTCAATTTTGTTTGCTTGCATATATCACTATTAAAAATCACTTAAAACTGTAAAGCTACCTCTTAGAACACTTCTGGTGACATGTCCAGGTATGTAAAAACAATACTGATGATAAGGTATTTAAAATGTGAGCAGTCACATTGTTTAAAAAATTCGGCAACAGCATTTGGAGCTTTTGTACGAGTACAGACACACAAGTCCATTACTTAGCAGTGTTGGTGCAGAGAATGTTAATGTATCAATGCACGCAGCATTAATTAGGAAACTCTACAGACCGCATCAAGACTGATAATAGTAGGATCTCTTTAAAATGTTAACATTAAAAATTCAATACAAATACATTTATAAAATTATCCAAAAAAAGGGGTAGATCCTCTGATGGCAGAAGCTGGCATTGCTTTCAGTGGAGCTAAGACAACATGTATAAGCTGATGAACTATCTACCCTTTCAAGTTTCAGAGAACAAATCTGGTATAACACATAAGGAAAAATTTATCAGTATTTTTTTCTAATTATGTCTGACAACATTCATTAGGTGGTTGAACCATTGCCAAAGAAATCAGGGTCTCAGATAAGATATAGTAAGATAGATTTTTGGGGTTTTGTCATTAATTTGTCTCTTGCTCATTTATATGAACTTGGCATTGGGTAGTAATACCTATCACTGCATTCTGTGTCAGTCATTGTCTTAATCATATTGAAAGAGTCACTAAAAGTCCATATAAGAACATCATTCATTACATTTAAAGTTCACTGTTTATTTCCTGGTTCTAGAAGCTGCATTTTTCAGTTACTAACAAATGCGTGTGCTACACATTGTAGCACCAGAATGTTACCCCAAGAAGTGTTTTTCTGCTATTAACAAGTGAGAAAGGTAGCTGAATTAAAAATACATACGTAGGGAAAACTGAGTATTTTTTTAATGTTGAAAATTTAAATATGATATAGTAAAAACAAAGTTTAGTAATTGTTTTTATTTTAGAATATAAATGATCAAGACTTATGAGATGAAGTATTTTATATTTCAATCTGACTTAAACATGTCTTTTAAATTTCTAAACAATGGTATAAAAAGGAGGAAGGATTATTTTTCACCAAGTACCAGGTTAAGAAAAAAATGCTGGCCTTATTTTTGCATCTGTGGCTTCTGTCCACTAGTCAAAGCCTTAGTATTATTTCAAGGCTGTTTTCTCCAATGAGATTATATTTGAGCTCTCTTTCTCTGTTACATTCAATAGTATGTGTCCACCTTCTTGTACTTACTGCACAACGTATTTCGAAATCTGAAGCCTCTGTACATGCTTGGAGTAAACATCAACAGCAATGGTAAAATATTACATTGTCTTGCTGTCCACTGTCCGCTTGAAGTAATATATTCTGCCCATCTCTGTATGTTATTCTGAAAACCACCCAGATCCAACACTTCATGCCGCCTGACCAGTAGGGTGAAAATGTGCTACAGAAAAATAAGGTTTGAATTTTGAGGGCTATGGTTAACACACTAAAATCTCATTACATGCAAAATTCTGCTGATCTGAAAGCTGGTTCTTACCATAAAACCTGAGTACATCATTAGTGTGCGATCAAGTCTGGGTGAAGTAGAATATAACAATAGGAATCAGTAAAGGTGAATAAGATTCTCAACTACACAGACCTTGCATGGTCCAGAATTAAAATGAATGTTCTACGGTAGGAAAAGGGAAAAAAAAGAATAGTGTTCAGGAAAGGAAAAAAACAAAACAAAACAAAACAAAAAAACCAAGAAGAACAAAGAAAAGATCCACGAACATTTCCACCCTATGAAACAAAACTTAAAGCTAGAATTTCCCTAACTGGTGAGCCAGTTCGCTCAACAGATTTGAACCAGGAAGCAAGCCAGCATCAAAGCTGTTTGAACAATCGTTTGGGCTTGAGTGCAGTGAAGATTTGTCTCATATAAAGACAAAAGAAGTGAATGCAATTTCAAGTTATAAATACTTAGGTACATACTTGATCTATGGAGATCTAGACATTAATGTTTCTTATGTTACAAACAAAAGTGATTTGGACTGCTCTGTAGTGAATCTTTTTTTTTTTTTTTTTTTTTTGTTTCCAAAGCAGTATCAGGTAATAAATATTGGACAATAGGAACTGCACATCCTTTCTTTGTCTATTCACTTATATCTCACATAAAGAACCACTTAGTGTCTTGGTTAGATGCGTGATACACCACAGGAAACTGACCTTGATAGCATTTGTGTATGAGAGCTATGAAACATACGTAGTAAGAACTGTTAATTTTTCTGTTTTGGTCACCGAACTGACTGACCACTAATTGGAAACTCTTTTCAGTCTAAACTGAAGTAGAATATAAGGTCTAGTTCTCTTCTTCACTAAAGATGAAAGACTTATCCTGATGACAGCAATGACAAAAAGTACGATGGCTTTTGAAGACAAAGAAGACTGAAAGCATTTAGAACTACTTCATAATTCAAAACCAAAAACTACAGAAGAAACCACATGTTTTCATTTTTGTCAGAGTATTTATGTAATTTTACTCCTTACAGGTTGTCTGACAGCAGAGCTTGATTTAGCAGATTCTTACTTCTTGAAAGAAATTTATTCATTGTGTTTGAACGTTGTAACCAGATTGGTTATATTCATGTTAGCACCTTCTTGGTTGGAAGCATGTACTACTACATTTGGTATGCATTACACTGATTACTGAGTACAGACTCCTATCAAGGGAACCAGGTCTAGGTGTTAATGGTTTCTGGAGTCCTGAAGGGGATTGTTAATGAATAATGTATTGGGAAGCCTTCTTCCTCTATGCTTGATTTTAGCCAGTGCCTTTCCAGAGGTATGTATTACAAAATTTTTACACGGGTAAAAAGGTGTTAGCTCTCCTTCCTAATGGCTTCAGTAGTCTACCCTGCTCCTAATCTTAGAAGAGTGGGTCAAAGTAAGACTGCTAACTCAGACCCTGTTCTCTTTGTCTTCCTGCTATTCCATTAATTCCATCCCAAATTGCTTTTCTTTCCAGAGGGTGAACCTTAAAGACAGCCAAAACTCACTGATCATGCTCTCACTTGCTTCTGATTTCATAGTAACATTCAGTAAGAAGGTTTGCTACCTACTTTTCGCAATTTGTCCATCCTTTTTTAAGGATCTTAAATGAAGATGGAAAGTGACATCAAAAGTCCTTCAGATGATTTTATCCTTTTAAAGCAGCCAGAACCTACATTTCCTTACATATCAAGAAGGCCCAACAAATACAAGGAGGGGTCTCCTGTCAGAATGGCCCTTGCTGAGCCTTTTCTGCTCTAGGTGCAGCTGTGAAGTAATTTTGTCTGTGCACCTAGTGTAGCCCCATGTGAAACATATGTATTCTCTTTTAGCTTTTTCTTCCACTATGGATCCTTATCTTTGTGAAACTGCTCATGAGGCACAACTGCTGATTCCAATTCTTAGAAATATAATATAGTCTTCAGCCTCTCATATGGACAGCCTCTGTGTGCTGGGCTTTAACTCTCTTCCCCATTCTGAGTTTTAGAATGATTTTCATTAGTCAAAGAAAGATGTTTACATCCAGTTGCACCTCTTTACCTAAACAAGATGATATCATGCTAATACAACCCACAAGCCATGTTTCCTGTTTAATAACCTGGAAATGCAGTTGAAATTTCAATCACAATGTTAAAAAATGAATCCTTGCACTCAGGGGCTCAAACAGACAAGAAGTGAAAACAGAATCCTTTACTTCCTCTGGAGTCTTGAAAGAAAACACATGTTCAGTAATCATATTCCAGAAGAAAACATGTCTGAGAGACTGCTTTTCTTCTGCATTTCCTGCCTTCGTGTTCATTAAACTTACTGTAAAATATTAGGTACTGGCCTGGATTAGTACTTTCCAATGCTGCTAGTTCACAAAAAATAGCATGAAAAGACAGACTTTTGCATGCAGTTTGGAGGCAAGACAAGGATCAAGAAGTGCTGTGGAATTAGCAGAGACATATTGGCCAAAAAATCTGGAACTTAGTTCAGAACCTGAATTAAATAGAAAGCACTAATATATAGTGCTAATTGCAGGTATTCCTATCCAGCCTGCAACCAGTCCACATGCTGAAATAAGCCTGATTCCCATTCTTCTAATATTGATAATATCAAACAAATGATGTAAAATATTTTTGGATCCATTATTGTTACCTGCATTCTTTATTTTTGTTGCCATGGTGAATACCCTATTTCTTAATGCAAAGGAAGTATCCTCCGATACTTAGTCCTACTCAGGATGGGTAAGATTTTTATATAGAACTTCATCCACATTCAGGACCTTTCTTTGATGCAGGGACTTAGCATGTCAGAAACAGGAAATAAGACAAAATGGGCCTGATTTACTTTTCTTATTTGATAGCAGGTTGAATTATCTCCAAAGATGCTAACCTGTAATATGTAGCCAGGCATTCTAGCCCTTTGAGTACATACTGTCCAATCAAAAATGAATAAAGCAATAATTTTTCTCCTCCCACAGCATACACACAGCTACATTTACTAGGACCAAAATTCTTAGGAAAAAAATGGGGAAAAATACAGGTGTGATTGCTTTCTGGGCTAGAAGATCTTCCCTGCTTGACAAAGGTCTAGAATATATTGCTTGCTTCTGACCAGCATACAGCCCAATAACCAAAGACTGGATATTACTTAATAACAAAGGTGTTTGGATGAGGATAACCTGACACAAAAGTATTGTCCTTTCCATCCAGGGGATTCATGAACATATATTATAATGCCATGTAACCAATAAGATTTGTACAGATCTTGCCCCTACTGTGGGCTTCAACGCTTCTGAGCTGGAGCTAGACACATCAGTCTGCAAGTGAGAGAGAAATTGCTGGCAGGCTGGCCTTCATCACTCTCTCCACAACTAGCCACCCAAACTCGTTTTGCTTGATCCTAGGGATTGGTATTTTTGCTCAGCCTTCTACTTTCTAGTTTTGGACATCTTCTACCTGCCACTCAGTTTTCACCAGTAGTCCTGACCAATCAAGTTGAAGCTACTTGCTGCTAATGGACAGCATTCATAACTCATTGCATGCACAGTACTCTGTAAAAGTGCAATGTTTTATGTGTTGTTCCAGTTTCATCTGTTGTCTAGTGCTAGAGTTGTCATCCAACATTTCTCTCTGATAAGATAATACTGCATGTTTTCTAACCTATAAGACATGTCTTTTACTCTCTTAATGTCTGCCTTGTAAATACACGCCTGTCCTCCACTGGCTATGTGATAAAAGTGATTTGTGAATCTCATATAGGCCTGTCTTACTTATTTAAGAAGTGATACTTTAAAAGAAAAGGATCAGGAAAAAACAGTGAAAGGGAATAAAATCAAATGCAAACCAAGAAAAGTAGGATTTCAAGGCCTAGGCTTCTATTACTTTCATTTGTCAGCTGTTTTCCTTAAATCCTAGGCTGCAGCTATTTAATACTATATATTGTAAAGAAATATTACACAGTTAGAAGTGAACACATAGACACATGTCTGGCTGAGTATACATGCATATATACACATACAGTTCCCTGTAACACAGGTGGATGTAAGACTTACAAATCACATTCTCATCTCATTCTCCATGACACTAAGTGTTATTTTTGCATTGTGCATGATGCTTAGAACTTAAGTAACATCTTGTTCCATTCCTTGTGCAGAACCCTTTACTTATTCATGTGCAAAATTTTAGGGATGCCAAAATTCATCTTAGCTAGTTACTAGCTTTCATCATTGGAAGAGAACTCCTGAAATGCTCTGAAAATGGGTTCTGACTTACTTGTAGCCTTCCATGTTACTGCCCCACTATGCCAAACAGCAAAATAGCATGTGGTCAAAGGCACTGGTCATGTTCCAGTGACGAAGAGACACAGCACTCTCAGATTCACAAAATCCTAAAAGCTATGAAATTTGCCTTACACAACTAGAAGTCCTTCAAAACGTTCCATGGGGATCTCAACTTGTAAACTTCTGTGTAACATTATGAGAAAATGTCTGCGTCTTGCTGTATTGTATATTTTCCATTGTTTCTGCATACACAGCTGCTGTTGTTCTAGTAATATGGCCAAATAATTGTTTGCTGCTGTTCTTGTCAGCAATCTTTGACCAGCCTGAAACAGAGCCATTGCCAGGGTGTCTTTCAATTAATGACTAACACCTCCCACAAAGATCTTCCACAGTAATTACATCTATAATTCAAGCAAATCTAGAGTGAAAATAGCAGTACATGCACACAGAGCAGTGAGAGTGGAGAGGGCTCTTTCAAAAGCTACTTTTCTCCTCCCCTGTTTGCAGGACATGTGCTTCTTGTAGTGTGCTTCGTCTGGTGAAGAGCACACATGTTACAGAGCTAAGAAAGCAGCAGAAGAAAGAGTGTATTCCTTCCACAAGACTTAACAATGTATATTTGCTATAACAAAGCCAACTCTATAAGAAGATTAAAACAAACAAACAAACAAAGCCAAGCAGCTTTGCAGTTAGTTGAGGTTTTCTGTAATTTTCCTTTTTCTCCATGTGTTCTAGGAGTTGATAAACCGAATACTAGTCTATACCAAACCTTTAGGGGGAGACTATGAAAGGGTAGCAATGCTTAAGTGACAGTACTTTTGGAAAGGTAGCAGGCCTTTCTAAAAGGAACACATAGTCACTGAGAGAGACTGTGATCATGAATAGACAGTTTTAAGTAGAAAATTGCTGTTCAGATTCAAAG